ACCCGGAAACTGCCAAGAGCTCGCAAAGCCAGCCTCACCCAGGAGCAGTTTCTTATTTGTCACAGGCACCCCTCCAGCAAGAAATTGCATCACTATCTCACGACTGAAAAAATTCTGCTTTGATTTAAATGCGTTTCTTTTCTCCTCTTTGAAGCTTAAGAGCACTTCAGTGGTTCCCGAGTCCCACCCCACTGATGATGTGATAATGTCATTATGGCTACAGCTCAGAAGAGGATCTCTTTAAGAGAACCTCAACTCACTACCCAGCGCTCTTTTCCTCTGATCTAGAGACTTCTTTGAAGTCAGTGGGAAGCCTTCAGCGTAAGGAGAGGAAGGCTAATCCAGCCCTAAAATGGGGGCTTCTCTGACAGGCAGTTTCCTGTCTGCCTTCCCGAGGCTGTGTAGGCTGTTTGTAAGTGTTTCCCTGCCCCTGGAGGTTTTGATATCATGTAACTAGTTCTCTATTATGTTTTGTGGCTGAATATTTTGGATATTTATAGTAAGTGTTTCTGATCATGTTTAATGTAGCTTCTAGATATAGAACAAACAAAAAAACAACTTCCCCAGTTATTTAACTGCATATCTTATTAAAAATGCTTGTAAACTGACTTAAAAATGGTTTTATTGAGGAATAACTGATATGCAATAAACGGTTCATGTTCAAAGTGTGCTATTTGTTGCACTTCGACATACGTGTCTGTTACTGAAACCATCACTGCAGTCAAGATCATAAACCTATCCACCACCTCCAAGTGTTTCCAAATGCCTCTTTGAAATCTCTCTCCCGGTCTCCTTTCTCAGGCACTTCGGCATCCTCAGGCAACCACTGATCTATTAAAGAATTTTTTGAAAATTAGGACTTTATGTCTTTAGAGCAGCTTTAGGTCCACAGTAGAGCCGAGGGGCAGGTTGAGAGATTTCTTACGTAGCCCTGCCCCCACACATGCACAGCCTCCTCCACTATCAGCGTCCCCGCCAGAATGGTCCACGATGTCCCACCATCACGCAAGGGCCACAGTTTCCATTGTGGTTCACTCTTGGTGTCGGTACACTGGGCTACTTTCCGTCATTATAATTTAGTTTGTACTTTCTAGAATTTTAAATAAATAGAATCATGAAGCACGTGCTCTCTTTGTCTGGCTTCTTTCCTTAAGTGGGATTCCTAGAGGTTCATCCACAGAATTACATGTGCTCCTCTGTCTTCTAGTTCATAGATAGACCACAATTTGTTTATCCATCTCTGCGTTGATGGACAACACGGAGATACAAAAATCATCAGAGACTACTGTGAACAATTATATGCCAACAAAGTGGACCATGGTTGTCATAACATACAAGATGAAATTTTAAAAAAGAGAAGTTCTCGATCCCATGTCAGCAGCAAAACGCAGAAGGCTACTACCCTCCCATGTGCGTTCTCTGGCTCCCCTTTCAGACTTGGGGGAGAGTCGGTTCCTAATTTGTCTCCTTTGCATCCACAGGAGCCTCCAGGAACCCCACCCACAGTCTGCAGGATGCTCCTTGCACCGTGGGGCGCCAAGCGTGCGGCGGCAGCTGCTGTATGTAGCCGCAGGGTGGCGGTTCTCCATCTCTGTCGCGTCACCTGTCACAGGTACAATGGCATCATTGTCCCCAAACACACTGGCATTCACAGGGGCATCTGAGGTGCCCGAAATCGTCTCTACAGAGTGCGTGGCTCACATCACAGTTGGTGGGGATGGAGGGTCTCCCCCATCTGCCACTCAGCCACTTGGCTGCAGGGAGCATCACGGAGCCTCGTGGGGAGGGCTGGTCACTCCTCTGTGCGAAGGACGGTCGGTGTCATCCCAAGGAAGGGACGCCCATCACCTCGGCCCTGGGGACTTTCTGATCCCCTTACAGGAATAGGGATGAACAGTCCTTCCCTCAGGGACTGGCCATTCACTCCCGGTGAAAAGATACCACAGCTGTGCCCAGTGTCCTGATGCAGGACCCCAAGCCAGCCGGGTAAATTATCTGGCTTTATTCATGACACGTGAATATTCTGATTCCCAGACAAAGCTGAATTACAGGGCACTGTGTCCCAGATCTTTGCATTTTGTGGGAAATGACATCGGGATGCTAAGTTTAATTTTTGCCAAATAAGCACATTAGTAAAAACCTACTATCTTGTATTCTGTCCTAAAAAGAAAAAACCTAAAATTGCTGCATAAAAAAGATGTCACTGAAGGGAATGGACGTAGCTTTGTGATTGTCGTTTTCCACCATGCGCTGAGGCTGGGTGGAAGCCCCGGCCCTGGCCCCGGGTCCTGAGTTTGGGAACCACAGCTCTGTGAAGCTCGCTCACTTAACTGAGGCACCCTTGAAGGTCATCTATTTCAGCAGCTGGGGGACCTCTCGCCCCTCCCCTTCCCTCTGCCTGCGCATATCTTTACAGCACATTTGAGCAACTATTTATTGTCTTGGATTGTCCTGTAATGGTTTCATAGGTGGGTATCTTGTCCCTTCCAGCCAGACTGTAATGCTGGGTGAAGAGATAGTACTGAGTAACTAATTATTTGAATTTACTTCTATGATCCACACTGATACACTGTTTAGAGGACTGCAGGCTATTCACACAGGGGTGTGTGTGTGTGTGTTGTGTGTGTGTGTGTGTGTGTGTGTGTGTATGAGTCAGCTGGAGTCCTCTATTTAGGTTCCTAAGTGAAACGTGCACATTTTTGAAGAATTACATGAGCCTTGTGATGAGAAACCAGCCTCTGGAGTTTTCTTCATCTTCCTCTCTGTTTCCTGTGAAGCTGGAGGGATGGACCCCCTATTACGTGGCCTGAATTTGAGCCTCTTTGCAGCCCCTCCTCTCCTCATTTCTGACGATTTAGTAATAACGTAGGATGTAGCGGGAGGTTGAGATTCTCCCACGAAGTATCAGAATTGTTTTTCATTTTAACATTTTTTTATTTTAAAAAAAATCATTAAATGTTCCTTAGAATGACAGCTGAGTGTCCATATTTAAGACTTCCTGATTGCTCTAGCAGTTTAGGGAAAAAAACAAAATAAAAATGAGCCCACAAGGAAAATTTAAGTGGAAGAAATTAAATTCAGAATTGTAGACTTTCTTTTTTCATTTGAATAAATACTCAACTTTTTGCTGTAAATTTTATGTGCCAGCCCTAGTTACCCTATATCCAACAGTCCTTGAAAAAGTACTTAATTTCTTCCTTAAAATACATGAACAGTTTTATTTTTTGGAAGATAAACCCTTTTGGATCAGCACAGCTCCCCCTCCCCCACTTTTATCCTCTACTTTTGGCTACGACCCAAACACACACACACACCATCTGCCTTGCAAGTGAATAATTCAGTTCGGGCACAGGCGGGCGGGGAATATGAGTGAGTGAGACGGGTACGTGGCGGAACATCATTATCCTTGGGGTAAGTTAAACTGCTGCTACTCAGGACAGCACATGGCTGACGGGTGCTGCGGGCTCAGGACTGTTCGGGCCCTTACCTTTTCCTGGCTTCTCATTGTTCTCCTGAGTGAGTTTTCAGATTCGTATTTATTCAGTCCTTGTCTAAAGTTCAATCAGGTTTCCTTACCCCACATGCAGCTCTTTGATCACTTCACGGTTTTGGGATTGGTTTCTCTTTCTCCAATCGTATATTTCTGTAGCAACTTACAGGAGTATGTGATTAATGTCTGCTTAATCTTTTGAGGAGGGAGGACCAATATGACCGCCTCCCTTCAAGGTATAGGTAACGTTACTTCATTGCTATTAACGCGAAGTGCTGTCAAAGAGATGATGGGTGTGCCTAAGAAAGCAGACGTCGCTGACAAACAATCTCAGAAAAGAAATAAGAAGGACCCCCCCCCACAAGACACACTATAAATGAGAGTTTCATTATATTTCATTAAAATGTTTAAGTTTTAGTAAGACCTCAGACCCGCGGTATTTTCTTGTCTGAGTTTCTCCTGATTAATTAATTCTTTCAGCAAATCCTGGGGAGGGACTACCAAGTGCCGGGAGGAGCGGGTATTGGCAAGTAACACCGAGAAAAAGTGCCTCTGTGAGACTGATGTTCTGATGCATCCTGATGAGCTAACTTATGTTTTAGAAAAGCCTGTCACGTGAGTGGACCGAACTTGATAGAAAAGACTCAATTATGTATTGCAGCCTTACTAGTAAGAGCACCAGAATGAACAATTCAGGATTGGATTCCTAGGGGAACCCTGTGCAAGGGGAGGCAGTGAAACACCCCTTTTCTAGGCTTGGCCTCTGAGCAGTAGCAGGTACACATTGTGGCGCAAAAAGCTGGCAGAGCTGCTAAGAAAAAGGTGCACGAATGAGGGGGGACTGTCAGGACTGCTTCTGGAAGGTACTGTGATTGTGTGCTCCCAAACTTTCTCAGAAAGCAGAAAAGTGCATTCTCTAAGAAAAAGGTTTTACTCAAAATAGTATCTGAAAAATAAATCTTTGATTAAGCCAATTTTGGAATTTTGAAGATGGGGTAGTACAGGCAGAGCTGGTTACAAGCAAGAAGGCAGAGTTTGGGGGCCCCCCTCCCCATCTGCTGTGTACCCCTTTCTCCATCCTGCGGTTCCTGTTGCACTCTCCATGGTGGGGTCCATTCCGAAGACCCGGGATTAACGAGGGCTTTGCTATTTGTCACTCATGTGTGAAAGAGCCACCTTGCTAAGCCTGTTTCCTCATCTACAAAAGAAAGATAAGAATCCTAACCTCAGAAAGCAGAGGCGAAGATTAAATATAACATATATGAAAGTGCTTTGAAACAATTAATTATAAGCATGAGCATGCTAATGACCTTAAGGAATTGGAACAAAATGCTGAGAAACACGGGAACTCTACGTGAGAAGCCTGCCCAAGGGGATGGCCGAGCGGTGGATCTGCGTGTGGGTCGGTGTTTCTGCCAGACGATGCTTTAAATCACACTGTGTCTGGGGCTTTGTGTTCTGCCTGCAGAAGCCGTACCAAGCCCGACTTCTCCGACCCCCAGGTACTCACTCTTGCCAGGCTGGTCCCAGAGGGAACTTTGTAAGGGACGTACTTCCTGTAGATGTGACCGACTCGGGAACACGGGACGTCAAACATCTCTCCTCCGCACATCCAGACCTAGAGGGGAAATTAGCAGTGTAATAAAAGAGAGCAGCGCATTTCATACAAAACCCCCGAATATGCAGTAAGACTCATCCGAAAGCCTTAAAACCTCTTAATGTCTCTAAGTCAATGATTTCTACTTATTATCAATAGCTAACCAAGAAAAAAACCCCACATTTTGTAAAACCTAGATTGATGAAAGTATAGAACCAAAATATTAGTTCAGTAAATCTAATTTCCATAGACAGCAAGTTGACTTTAAAATTCTAGTGGAATTTGATCACAACTATTGCATTAAACTGGTGTCTAATGCTTAGACATTGAATTTCTGTAGATATTTGTTTTGACAATCTCATGAAATCACTGGAAGAAAAAACACGGGAATTCGTGTCAATTAAAAATTTAAAGTGTAAAAAAGTGGAATTTCTAAAATAGGGGAATGAATTAAGGAACGCAGGTATATCCATACTTTATCACATCTAGTTTCTGAAACATTTGCTAAATCTCACCTTAAAAATCAGAGTGTCAGTCTGATTTCTCCCTACCCCTGATCTTTTCTTAGGTACGGAAAATAATTGGTTAGCTATGTGGACTCAAGAAGTGTTAAACTCAGGGTATCTGTAAAGATTCTGTACTTATATAGAGTAACAAAAATTTATTGGTTATATTTTACCATGACTACCCACTCAGTCACACAAAATCATAGTTTCATATAAGAGACTACTTATTATAAAAGCACTAATTATCAAAACATAAATGCAGGCTTCATATATGCCACATTTTTACCTATTTTCATTGCAAGAAGAAGATTGAAAAAGAGTTAGATGCTGTAATAGTTTTATGTGTCAACTTGGCTGCACCACAGTGTCCAGATAGTTGGTCAAACGTGATTCTGGATATTTCCGTGAGGGTGTTTTTTTGATGAGATTGACATTTAAATTGGTGGATGTTGAGTAAAGCAGTTTCTATCCATCATGTGGGTGGACCTTATCCAGTCCGTTAAAGGTCCTAGTAGAACCAAGACTGACCTTCCTCAAGCAAGAATGGGGTTTGACTTGGATGTAGACAGCAATTCTTCCTCATGTCTTTGGCCTGCTGGTCTACCTTACAGATTCTGGATTTACCAAGCTTCCTCAATGGCACGGGGAAATTCCTTCAAATAAATCTCTCTCTCTGTATTTAGCCTGTTGGTTCTGTTTCTCTGGAGAGCCCTGATACATATACACAGCTTCTTTTAAAGTGAAATATTGAAAGAGAGAAAGAGAAATGTTTATGTCTTAACTTGCATTTGCTTCCAACTTCTTTCACTAAGAGGAATGGCGCCCCAATGGGACTGGTGAACAGATGGTGATCAGGGTGAATGGGGCTCCAAGGAGGAGGCAGCTGATTATTAAAACAGAACTCAGCTGCTCTAAATGAGCTCAAGACTACTCGTGGCATCAGTTTCAACTCGGTTTGGGACCAAGACATCAGAAGTGCACACAGACGATGAAAAGCTGGGAGGGGCAGTGGACTATAGCATCAACCTCTAGAAAGATCATGAGAGGCTGGAGCTATGTAGGATCAAACGTGAAAAGGTGAGATATAAGAACCTGTCCCCAGGCCTACGAAACTCAGCGCGTCCAGAGCAGGTAGGGTAGGAAAAGACTGAGCAGCACGCACACACCAGCTGCGTTGCATGGAGAGTTTAGGGAGGGCAAGTCTTCCCTGTCTGCCTGGAGTCTCACGCTGATTTCTGGGCAGATGCTTTGCATTCCCTCCTAAAGAGAATCACCAACGTGGGGAAGGGATGCAAAGTGAGTCTTAGCAAAAGCAATATGGAGAACTTGATCAGGCAGAATTCAGAGAAATATTTTCGAATACCTCAAGAACCTAATGTTTCGTAGTGATGTTCATAGTGGGACCTCAAGGAGATAGATTGAGGATTAATAGCAAAGAGACAGAGAGAGACAGATTTCCACTCAGTGGAAGGAAGAGCTGTTGAATGGACAGGTTGGTTAAAGAAGAAACGGGCTTCCTGTACCGCCAGGTGCGTTGACATCTGTAGCAGGTGGCACTTCGGAGACCAGCGTATGGCTTTGGAGCGACTGCTGGGCTAGCTGGCATTTTAAGGTGACTCTGATCACAAGAGCTAGCATTTGTGGATGTTTACTGTGCCCTTTGTCATTCAGTGCCCACAGCTCAGGGACGGACTTTACCATTTCCCCAATTACACAGGTGGGAAAAAGGCAGACTAGGGGCTAGCTCGAGCCGCACGCCCGGCCCCCTCTGGCAGAGAGGTGGCCCCAGTGGTCTCAGTCCAGAGCCCAGAGGGTCGGTAGTCTGTCTGCAGCGTCGGCAAGCTCTGCCTGTCAAGGGCCGGACAGTGAACACTGCAGGCTTTGTGAGTTGCTTGGCCTCTCTTGCGACGATGCAGCCTCGCCGAGGCAAAAGCAGGGCTGCATCTTGGTACAGCTCTGTCTACCAGAGTCGGCAGCGGGTCACAGCGCGGATGCGGCGCAGGACTAACCAGCTTCCAAGCTCACATCTTCCTGGCTCGCTGCCAGGCCGGGACTCCCAGCCCCTCTGGATTTGGAAGGGGCCGCACGGCTGTTTCTTGCCAGTGGAACATGAAGGGAGGCGAGGTGCATCACGACCTCTGGGCCACAGTCAGTAAGAGTGGACTTCATTTTTCCCCTTCTTTATGATTCCTTTTTACCCCAGAGCCTGACCAATTGCAGAAGACCGGGAGGAGGCCTCCCAGGCCCTGGAAGACGGTGGAGTCACAAAACAGGTGGGGCCCGAGCGGCTGGAAACCCGGTGGAGCTGAGCACGCTGCTCCCTTCCCAGCCGGGCCCCGGTGTGGTGGGAGCAATGGAGACGTGTGTCCCATGTGAAGGCACTGAGCTGGCCGTTGTTACAGCAGCTGGTCCATTCTCATGACTCTTCCCTTGTTTTGTTTCGTTTTCAGTCTCTCCTGACATTTTCACTCAGGTACGGTGAATTTTTTAAAAATCAATTCTGATTTTATCAAAAACATGTTTATCCCCAAATTTATCAACAGTTTAATCAGGTGTGCTGAATATTTCTGAGATCATTTCCTTTTATTATTGGTGCATTTTAAAGAGATGCAACTTGAAAGTAATTAGCCAGCAGATGAAGGGGTTGGGGACGGGAGGGCAGAGAGCATTAGGGAGTCCTGTGCGGAATCCAGCGTCAGTTCTTCCTGGACAAAGGTAAGCAGGTATCACGGCAAAGGGGCCTTCCTACCATCTGCAGCTGGAAGGGAAGGTTTTGTTGGCACAGGCATTTACTTTGCGTGAAAAGGTGACCACACTGCTCTCATCACTAGGTGAGTTGACCAGTCTCTCCTGCAGGACCAGGGGATGGTGACAAACGAGGATGAGATAAGGGGCCAGGCCCTGGGGCAATGCCTTACAGTCTCTGGCTGTAATCTATTTTTTTGGATGCTGTGGTCTTGTAGAACACTTAGAAAGCAGACAGAAGCCGACTAAATCCTTTTTAGGAGAGAGTTTGCCAGGTAAGCAGGACCATCGTAAAAAGTTAAATAGATCATCATTGCCTTCTTGCCCAAGATCGGCAAGATAACTTCATGCACACACAATGATGAAACTCTAAATCTTTCCAGAAGGTCACTCTAACACAGTTTTAAAAGATTGGTGTGTAGCAAATGACCACAACCTTAGTGGCTTAAAACAACACACATTTATGATCTCATGGTTCTGTGGGTCAGAAGTCCATGTGGGCTCAGCGGGGTTCTCTGCCTAGAGTCGCACGAGGCTGAAGTCTGGGCGGCCGCTGGGCTGAGCGCTCACCTGGAGTGTCTGGGGAAGAGTCTGCCTTCGGGCTCATTTAGTCACAGGCAGAATTCAGTCCCTTGCAGCTGTAGGGCTGGGACACCGTCTTGCTGTTAGTGATGCCCAGGGCTGCACCCAGAGCCCATGCTCAGTTCCTCGTCCCACGAACCCTTTGTCTTCACCGTGGCTAACCCCCCTCAC